AATGAAATGAATCAACCTTCGGAGGTGCATCAGCATCAGGATCAACAAGCATTGGCGCCTCATCGGAATCGTCGGAATCATTTGAGGATGATTCCGAATCACTTTTCGATTGTTTGATAATGTTCGTTGCCTCGAACTCATCTGATGAGCTTTCAGCTTTCTTCCTTAACCGTTTTAATGTCATCTGAAAACAACTCAACTCAACAAAGGTGACCGTAAAAATATTTCGGCGAGACGGATGAGCGATTCCTTGAACTGCCAGGAAAATCTAGATGGAAAATGACAACGATGTTGCTAAACATTAATATTTTAAAGAAAATAAGATCATTTCTAGGATACGGGACGGGACGAATTGCACAATGGGCGTGAACTAAATCAACATGAATATAGAGAGAGCGACGCGCTTAGCGATTTGTCACGTCTAGAAAGTAATACATGTGGTTGCAATGGAGAGGTGAAAGATGGTCGTCAAACAAACAAATTATTTGAGATATTCCAAATGAGGTATTCCAGTATTCCAAATCATATCCAATGAGGTGAATATTGAAGCGCATTAAACACACTATCAGCAACTGTTCTCAGTTTAAAGATCATCGCGAACTTCCTAGAGATCAGCTTGTCGATGTGAGAATATTCGTGGAATTTAGCGATTTATGTTCCATTATACCGTAATCGCATATAAGGTTGAATACGGTACAATGAAACAGAAATGTAAATAATTCCGATGCGGGTATCATAAACATGGGGAGATTAAAAAATAATGATAAAAATAATAACATTATGTAATAATAGTAACAATAAGTGGCAGTAATAATAGTGATAATAATAATTCTAACAAAGATTTAAGAAACACGAAATAAATCAATTTAAAATTATAAAAGACCGACACCGAACAAAACAATTCATCTCCAGAAACTGCAGATTCCGTACAAATGCGTTCAATTAACAAGTTGGTGATTTGAATATCAATTAAGGATATTGATACATCTATGTACATTGTATTACTACTGATCAATCTGTACATTGCTCTAGCACCACAAGGGTTAACATCTTAAGATGAATTCAAGCTAACGCTACTCTCAGCTTTGCCTAGCAATAATTGATTACAACTTCGATGTTCGAATGATCATAAAACTGCCCTCACAAACATCCTATTACCTGTTATGCATGTGCTGTTGACTAGCATCGAAGCTAGCAAGGGCGTTGAAATGCACACAGATCCATCACTTAGCAGTCTTTTATCTATTCACTTTACTAACACAGAATTTTCCATGGCAACATACGTATTTATCTGAAACTAGAGAACCTCATGAAGACGATTTTGAAAAGAGTTGCTGAGCAAACCTGAGTGTAGGGCTAGTTTGAACGTGGCTTCTTTGATAGCCCTATGGTAATGGAATCGTTAAAAACCCTCCACGAGTCAAACATTTGCTCCCTAACGAGCACCAGATATGACCCTATACCACTAATCTAACTTAGATGTTTTAAAGATCTCTTTAGCTTGCTTTCGTAGATTCTTGAATGTGTTACTATGATGGGGCAAGCTGTAGTCGTATTCATCAGAGTTTAAGCATTACTTATCGTCATTCTACTAGAAAACTGCGTAATTACTAATTGAATCCACGACTGAACTCATGTCTAACTGTTTAAACTCTGAATTGATTGTATAATCGAATTATTTTAGCAGACTATTTGACACCGAAAACTGCTCGGCACAATATTAACACCAGTTCCTTTTCGTATGAAATCATTTTTTAACCTCATAAAATTATTTCAGCAATCTATTCAGCACCCAGAATAACTCTGCCCAATACTACAAGCATGCTTCATTGACATGAACACACGAATCACTCGTTCGATACTTTAAAATTATATACCAACTTATTCCGCACCTACACCCGCTCTGCACACTCCTACAAACTCATTTCATCGAGATGAAGTTGTTTTAG